TTATTAAACAAAATAACTATTAAGGATAAGTACCCTATGCCATGTATTGATGACCTTATTGATAGACTTTCTGGTCACAAATGTTTTTCAAGTCTTGATTTAAAAAGTGGTTACAATATTAATAAAAGAGAATTCAATACCCAAAACTGCATTCATCACGGAAGATGGCCATTATGAGTTTCTCAGACTCCCCTTTGGTTTAGTTAATGCACCATCTTGTTTTCAATATATGATGAATAAAGTTTTAGGTAATTTAAGGTTTAACAATGTAATAGTTTATTTAGATGATATTTATCTTGTAACAAATACGGTGGAAGAAAATTTGAAGTTATTAGAACAGATATTGCAAATTTTTAGGATGAATGGTTTGACTCTGAATCTAAAAAAAGTGTCATTTCTTCAAAAGTGAAATAGAGTTCTTAGGTTATCGAGTAAAGTCTGGGAAAATTATGCCAAATGAAGCGAAATTAGAATCAGTTAGGCAGTTTCCAAGACCCAAAACAGTACACCAACTTCGACAGTTCATTGGTCTAATAAGCTATTTTCGGAAATTTATTAAAAATTGCGCAATGATTTTGGTGCCTTTGACAAAACTGTTAAAGAAGGATACTACCTGGGCTTGGGAAGACAAACAAGAAGAGACATTTCAATCGTTAAAAAATAAATTAACATCAGATAATTTCCTGTCTATTTTTGATCCCAATAGAGATAGTGTTTTATACACTGATGCTAGTCGAGAGGGTATTGCAGGAATACTTATGCAAATTACAAATGCCCTCATTTGAAAAACCAGTCCATTATTATAGTAGGCAAACTACCGAAAATGAAAAATTATACCATTCATTTGAATTAGAACTGTTGGCAATTATTTGTTCGCTCCAAAAATTCCGCCTATATCTGTTAGGTTCAAATTTTAAAATCATAACTGACTGCAGTGCTGTACGATATGCGCTCACTAAAAAAGATATTGTCCCACGCATAGCTCGATGGGTATTAGCTACACAAGAATTTTCATTTGAAATTGTCCATAGAGCAGGTACACGTATGCTGCATGTTGATGCATTAAGTCGAAATCCTGTAGTTTCGGGGGAAAAGTCTGAAGTTGAAATCATTATGTCCATTACTGAAGCAGATTGGTTGCTGTTAGTGCAAACACAAGACTCTAAAATTCAACAATTAAAATTAATTTTAGAATCGGGAGAGGCCGACCAAAATAGAGATGTTTTTGACAAATACGAATTGCTTGGGTCAAAAGTTTACAGAAGAACAGCAAAGGGTCGTCGATGGTTGGTACCAAAAAAATGTATTTGGCAAATAATTAAATACAACCATGATGAATTTGGACATTTTTCTGTAGACAAAACTGTAGAAAGAATATCAAAGTTTTACTGGTTTCCCCACATGCGTCGTATTATAAAAAAGTACATAAAAAAATTGTTTAAATTGTATATACTTCAAAAACAAAGGGGGTGCCAAGGAAGGCAAATTATTTCCAATACCAAAATATGCTCAACCTTTTCATACACTTCATTTAGACCACTTGGGTCCATTCAAAGTCAAAAAACTTGTGGGAAATGACAGATATGAGGTAACGGATCTTAAAGGAAGTGAAAGATCCTTTAAAAAGTATACTGGCGTGATAGCGGCTGAAAATATGAAGCCGTGGATTAAAATAGACAACTGGAATGAATCTGAATAATTACGTGATTATATTATGTATATAATAGATATTCGTGTTGGCAAGGTAAACACCTTAATATACTGTTTTTGGTATCTTACCTAATTCATAGTTTATTAAAAATAGAACACATAAAAAAAAAAAAATATGTATACAAGTAAAATATTACATCAGGCATAACAATTTGGTTTATAAAGTAATACGAGTATACACGTAAGGTTTGCGAGTCAAGATAAAATGCTTTAACTTATATTTATGTCACACATTACTTTTCATTTTACGGGACCCCTAGTAAAATAAATACCGATCCCGGTTCAGAATTCAACAATGCACTATTAAAAGAAATGCTAAGTTTTCATAAAATCAATCTACACATAGGAACGCCCCATAACCCAAATTCAATGGGAATAGTGGAAAGATTTCACTCTACAATCTTAGAAATATATAGAATAGCAAAATATGAAAAGAAATTGACTGACGCAGCATCCGTAATGACATACTCGATCTTAGCTTATAATCAAACTATTCATTCAACGACAGGATTAACACCTTTTGAAGTAACTTTAGGTCATACAGATTGTAATAATATATTTAATTGTGAATACCACAAACAATTTACGCAACAACTTGTTAGGGAACATGTAAAAAGAACCAAGCACCTATATAACTCTATAAAAAAAAAATAACAAAACAAAAAGAAACAACACGCGAAAAACGTGGTGGTGAAAAGGAATTCCCAATCGAAGTAGGCGATACAGTATTCATAAAAGGAACAAATACCCGTAGATCTAAAGATAAACCGCGATATCAAAAAGCTCAAATAATCGGAGAATCTTCACGAAATATAGTACCCACAATATCTAAAATAGAATTAGTAAAATACCCATTAAAGATATAAAACGTCCTTCACAGGTATGGCCTCCTCAGTATCCAAGCGATCCTCAGCCAGGCCCTTCAAATAGACAAGATAAATTTCATTTTCCATATTAAAGGCTTTTGTGCATTTACTTATCTGTGCGTTTCATTGTGTTATTAAAAATTGATACCCTTGGGGCGTTACAGTTTATTTTTGGACTGACTGAGCATCGAACAATTAGAGCAATCAATAACTATACTATTATCATGATGTAAGAATATAAGTTGCAAGATACAAGAGACACATAAGAACAATATGGTAAGCGGAGCGCTAAACATAAAAATAAAATTATAGGAAGCACTAAGAAGTCTTAAAAGTTTCATTCTTACTTGTAGCACTATCAGCCTCCTGACCAAAAACCCGCACGAGATCAGCTTCCGCCCGTATACGTAGACGCGGAGCCTCCCTGCCTTGAAATTGACGTACGAATATGCGGCCATCCTTGGTCCAGACGTAACGCCAGTTTAACCTGCCACATAATTCCCGCGTCCGTTGGAAGAGATGCCAGTTCACCTTTGTCAATCTTTCATTAACATAAAAGCGGCGTGATCCTCCCGGCAGCCCTGTACCGTCTGTGGTGGCGCCGCGACGGACGCGCGCCGCTCGTCTCGTATAACGCGACGCGCCAGACGAACGACGATGGGTCGCGGGCGGGACGCTAGTGATTTTTCTGCTTCCCCCAATTTAGGTGCACGACCGACACGTGTGGCACATACGACGTTCTGGGTTGCCAAGTTTACTCCTAGTTTTCCCGCCAAAACGGTGACCACATGGACTTTGGGACCATAACCAATCATGTTCTCTAGCTCTTTTTTATTTATTCTCCTAATTATAAAATGACACAATACCACACATGACAAAATAAATGATAAAAGACAAAATACCTACTGGAGAAAGTAACCGATTTGTCTGCTCCGTGTTATTCAAAATCATTTCACTGTAAACAGTAACAATTGTCATTTAACCTCATTGCAATTCAGTGTGAATAAAGTGATACTTTTTGGTGGTGAAACTATTATTTCTATATCTCCCAGAACTTTTAAAATACAAGCAAAAGAAGTTCTAAAATTTGGCGTGTGATGCGTTTTAGTGGTCGAATGAACTTGCCTCGACAGTGCTTCGTTCAAATTTGTTTTCCTGTCGCCCGCATAAGTGAACACTCTCGTGCTATACTGTTGGCGGTGCGTGCTGCGTTCTAGCGGTCAAGTGCACTTGCTTATATGGTCCGTTTGAACTTATCTTACTGACACCAGGTTTAAGTTGAAATTGGTCCTTTCCGCTTACCTACATATCCATTCTTCATCAGCGCCACCTTCTTGGATATAACGGGCTACAAAAGGAACGAATTTCAACACGGGAGCCATCTAGGTCTTGTTCTTCGAACTATCTGTACTGCAGCGTACTTCACTAGTGGGAATTCATATATTTTTACGTCGAGCATTGATATAAACCAACATGCCTAATTGCGGGGCAAGTGGAAAATTTTTATCGCCGGCAGGGGCCGCTGCTTGTAGTGTTTGTCCATCTAAGTTTCACAAAGTCTGTCTGGGATTAACTGAAAAAGCACAAATGAGCAAAGGTTGGCTTTGCCCGAACTGCGCGAATAAATCGCAAAGAGGAGGTGACAACAGCCAAACTCCAGTAAAAAACATCTGCGGAGATAGCGATACGGAGGCAGCGCCCTCTGGGCCTGAGGCAGGGCGTCCGATAAGCGTGAGCAACGTTAATGAGCAACCGGAAGTCGCCGAGGTATCTGAGTTTCGTCGCGAATTCGCGGGATACATGGCAGAGATATGCGAATTCCGAAAGGAGATGGCGAGTTTACGCGATTCTCTTACGACAATAACGTCGCGTCTCGATCTAGTACAGCAGAGAGTGGAGGCGCTGGAGAAGATCCCGAAAAAAGTTGCCGAGCTCGAAGGCACTATATCGCAGCTGAAACAGGAGCTCAACTACCGTGATCAGGAGGCGCTCCTTGCTGACCTCGAGATCGGCCAGCTCCCAGAAGAGAAGGGTGAAGGGGTTGTCCAGGCTGTGACGGTGTTGGCTGCGCGCATTGACGTGAAGCTGGAGGACCAAGATGTGGTGTTCGCGGAGCGCGTGGGCCCGCCCCCGGCCGAAGTGGGGGGTCGCGCGCGCCGCGTTGTGGTGCGCCTGTCCCGCCGACACCTGCGAGACGAGTTGCTGCGCGCGGCACGCGTACGTCGCTCTCTTGCTGCACCCGATGGAAGTACGTGTAGTGTACGTCAACGAGCGACTGACCCGACCGAACCGTCAGCTATTTCACCGTGTGCGCGAGGAGTGCCGTCGGTTGCACTGGCGCTATTCCTGGAAGAAGCGTGGTCGAACATACGCTCGGCAAGGTGATGGGAAGCCCATCTTTAAATTTCCAGTGGTCGAAGACCTCGCCCGTGCGTTTGGCCCTCAAGAAGCAGTATCAAATTAGTGACCTACAAAGACACAAAAATATGTACAGTGTATACCACATATTTAATGAATACAATGTTAAGATCTTTAATTATATCACTTACCCTACTTTTTCGCCAATGTATGACTCCCAATTTGTGTCAATTTGTCTATTGCTTCTCTTTCCTTTTATCAACAACTTGTTTATATTTATGTTCATCTGTGAGAAATCATTAAATATTATTATTTGTAAATGTATGAAGGTTAAGAATATTAATGAATTATTATTTAACATTACTTTTAATGTCAATAATACCATATATCACTTTTTAATAATTTATATACACTATAAACGTATACATATTTTATATATTATATACAATCATATTATAGCACATATTGACACAATTATTTACATAAGTAAGAATACTCTTAATTTAGAAAAAGTTGCTAAAATTGGCATCATATTGTCTTATATACAGTCATACTTCATAATATCAATCAAATGTAATTATATACTTTTTCTCTTTAATAATGAACACTAGAAATCTTAAAGTTGGACTCTTTAACGCCGGATCACTTGGCACTAAGCATGAGGGGTTTACAGCGGCCATTCAGGAATTAGTCCCAGACATAATGGCTATAAATGAGACATGGCTCGGTTCGGGACAGGATGACAAAGCACCTAAGTTACCAGGCTACCGTCTAACTCATGTGCCGAGAGCTGATCACATTAAGAGGGGTCGGGGTGGTGGAGTGGGTTTCTACGTTCATCGAGGTATAAATTTTCGTTATTGTGAGTACCCTACCTCATCAGTGGTCGAACTGATGTGGCTAACTTTGCGCGCAAACAACCAGAATATTGCTATTGGAACAGCCTATAAAGCGCCTTGGCAGGATATACATATATTTTTGGACGCTCTCACCTGCTCCATTATGTCATTTGCAAAATATGATCGTTTGGATTCTACTTGGTGATTTTAACATAGATCTATTGAATAAAAATGACACTGCATATAAGCAGTTTCATCAATTCTTGCATAGTGTAAACTTGACCCAGTTGGTCGATGAGCCGACCCACTTCACAGACCACAGTGAGACTCTCATAGACGTAATCTGTACCGATGCACAACCCCTGCAAATCAGAGTTAAAAATTCTCCAGATCTAGGGGGACATGCCATGATTTTTGCAAAATTTTAAATAAGAAAAGAGAAGCCAAAACCTCGCTGGGTGACATACAGGTCGATGAGAGATATTATTTTTGAACAATTCAACAGAGAACTAGACTCTATTCAATGGAGTAATTTTAATGATATGGGAGACATTGACAGCTTAGTCGTTTCATTTACTTGTTGCATAAAAAATTTATTTGATCTTCATGCTCCAATCAAAAAACAGAAATTTAAGCATACTCCTCATCCGTGGATAACAGATACTATAAAGTCTATGATTAAAATTCGAGATAATTACTACAAAAAGTACAAATTGCAAAACACTACGGTATTAAAAGAATGTTACAAAACCTTGAAAAAATTAGTAATTACTGCTATTGATAGTGAAAAAAGGTGTTACTTTGATAGGAATATTAATAATAATTTAAATAACTCAAAAAAACTTTAGCAAAACCTTAAAAGTACAGTGTTACCAAGCAATAAAGGGAATCTAGACATTCCAGTTTTTTTGTATGATGCAGTTCTCATGAATGCTCATTTTCTTAATGCTCCTGGCAGCAATGTGGTAACATTATATGATCTTACTTTTTTTGAGCATCATAGATACGGAGTCGGCACATTTTTGCTTCAAACTGTCAGTGAGGATACAGTCTTTAAAGCTATCAGAGGTTTCAAGTCAAATGCTCAAGGTCATGATGGCATATCCCTGGAAATGCTACAACTGTCTTTACCCCAGTCATTGAAAGCCATCACTACTATAATCAACAAGTCGATAGAAGAATGCACATTTCCCGACAGCTGGAAAGTCGCTGTTGTGAAGCCTATTAGTGTTGCCCAAATGCAAGAACAAGACGAGACTAGGTCAGTCTTGATCTTGCGCCAATACACCTGGTCTTGGTCTTGGTCTTGGTCTTGGTCTTGCGCTCCCAGTCTTGGTCTTGGTCTTGGTCTTGCAGCAAGAGTCTTGCAAGTCATGCAATTACCTATTAGACTATTGCTATTTATTAAAGTTTACTTTAGATCTTAGGAATTAACATAGCCATAGTAAAAAACAATCAGATTAATAAATGTCTGAAGATTTGATAAAAAATTCGATAACTGCCACATGGTTATCAACTGAGCTATATGCCGTTTTCCATGGGAGTAACTGTTTCTTAATAAACATTTACGCTTTATAAGCTTACATGTGCTAAAACATGTAAAAAACAAATTATTTACAATAAATTGACTGTATTTTAAAGAATCTCTCTAGAAAGAGATTGAACCCTCAACTTATATGAAATTTAATAAAAGAGTTTTACGATTTATCATTTATTTCAATAAAAAATAAAATACAACATAAATCAAATAACATAACAGTACACAACAGCTTTGTCATTAGGTTCTGTTACTTTATATCAATTCTTTTGACCAAGAATTAATACAAATTAACCACCTGGCTGACTTAATCTATTTCTATGTTTTCTAATTACTAATAATGTTTTAGAAAATAATCTCTCAGCAGGTACTGAAGTTGCAGGTATTGAGAGAAAATCACGGGCCATCTTCGATAAAGTCGGATACTCTGTCTCATGCGTCCTCCACCAATTTAAAATGTCTTCCGAGCTGGCAGCTTTTCGTTTTCTCAGGTACTCCTCTAACTCGTCTATCACTAAGCCTTGAAGACAAGATCCAGATGACGTCGAGGGACATTCATACAGTTTATCAAAGTCTATTACGTCTTCATCTTATCATATACCTAATTTTCTTTTCTTGGTAATTCCAGAGATTTGTTCAGTGAGTGTAGACTGTAGTATTCTTCATAAAGTTCATTGAACTTGCGCAGGCTTTCTGTTTTAAGTTGCTTCCCCCATATTGTCAGGTCAAAGGCTGAGCTTTATGCCTTGGGTCTAAAATTAAAGAAGGACAATAAATCCAGTTGCTCTTCTTATAATGTTTAAGCATTATTTCTCGAGCTGTTTGGAAAGCTAGAATGAGCCTTTCATCCATTTCAGATCGATTAGGTTTCTCATCTAACTGTTTTACCATGGATTCAATTTTATCGACCAAGAGATTGAATGATACAATGACTAGCGGTAATGTAACATATTTTTCTCCACCAAGATTTGTACTTAAAAGTTTAAAGTTTATTAGAAACTTATGTATTTTTTCGAGTATTTGCCATTAGCTGTGATTTGAAAATCATTCAATTCGGTGACAGAACTGCACAAAATGTTAATGCCCGCTCTCACTTTTAAACCAAATCCAATCATATCATGTGTGGAATTCCATCTCGTTGGACAGTCAAGAATGGGATTCAGATTTGATGGCACGCCAGCTGCTTCACAAGCAGACTGAAACTTCTTCTTCACTATATCACTTCTTTTTATTTTACTGGAAATACTGCGTAACTTTGTTACAGATGTACGCGAGTCAGCAATATTTGGTGCATATTCTTCATCTTCTTCATCTTCCTCAGTTTCGTCTGCATAATCTTCATACTGCTGATCTTGCGCGTTAGTGTCAGTCTCACAGTGTAATGCTAAGGTCTTTAATAAATCTTGTACACCAAGGTTTAAAATGTGAGCAAAGCACCGGAAATGTTGATTGTCTGAATCAAAGTGTGGTGGTAGCTGTTTGCCTAGTTTATACATAATTTGGTATTTGCAGTTGCGTTGTCGACCGTGATACCTTGTATTTTATCAATTATGTCATATTCCAATAAACATTCGTGGAAAATCGTTGCAATATCTTCCTCAGTATGTCGACCGCGTGATGGTATAAAATCAAGAACTACAGATCGATACTTCCATTCGTTGTCTATATAATACATAGTAACCCCGTAGTAACTCCTACCAGCAATTGACGTCCACCCATCAATGGTAAACGACATTTTAGATGATAATTGTTGAAGTCGTTCCTTGAGATTCAATTGGAGCTCTTCAAATCGCTCTTTGACTTTCCTTCTAAGTGTGGACCTTTTAGGAAACACTTTATTCGGGCAAATACGTCGAAAATATACTTGTGTAGCTTCGTCATCGAAAAATGAGAAGGGAAGATATTTTTTCACCACCCAATCAACTGTAGCTATCGTGATGTTGTCACTACTGTTTTCCAACTGAAATAAAACAATAAATCTTGTGTTGTTATTTAAAACATACTAGGTTTGAGCGTTTAGGAGGAGGAGGTTTGTTGTTGTTAAATCGAGAAAATCGTTAAATTGAGGTTTGTTATATTAAGGTTGCACCGTACTGTAATTTACCAAAATGAAGTACTTAGTTGTTACAGGCCAATTATGAAAACAAATGAAAATATGGGTGTTTTATAAAAAATATTTAACACGATAATTACATACTCCATATGTGTTATGTAATTGTGAGATAAGTAAATTTATTCTTACCTATCCACTTCTTCCAGCAGTTACGAAAAAGCTTGCGATATCTCCGCTTAATTTTGGTTTACCAGGAAGAAATATTTGTGATTCCTTTTTGTGGAAAGATATTAGATGTTTCCTTAAGCCTGAAGTGTTTCTGTTTTTTACTTTTATTTCAACTTTTTTATGTTGGCACAATTTACACAAGGCAGTTTGGGATGCATGAATTATTTCGAAAAACTCCTCAAATTTGCTTTTGAGTCTGTTAGATCTGTAACTCAAACTCTCATTACTCGGACTAGAACAATTTGAATCTTCGTCACTCATATTAAATTGTAGACGTGATACGTTTTCCAAAAACAACAAGAATTAGTAAAAACTATTATTACGTTAGACTCGAAGCACAGCTCAATTAAAAATGACTGGAATTAAAGTA